CCACCTGTGGTCTATTGCACTGCATTTGAAATATTGTGTTGTGTCTTCTGGTCTACATTTCCTTCCAGTGTGGGTATCTGGGGCTGACTTTCCCCCACCATCCCCATCTCCTGCATCGTCTGCCATTCCTCCATGGTCAAGTCTAATCCTGGCCCCATCCGCATCCCTTACTGGGTCTTGTTCCTTGCTGCATAGTCTAGGCAATGACCCAAGACATTATGCCAAAGAGCATAAGACTTAATCCCTGTTTGAAGTCTGGCTGGTGATAGGTGTGACAGAAGCACATATATCAGAGCTGTAAGAGACCTTAGCCTTCCCCTAGCCTAACCTTCTCATATTGTGGATGAGGAAACTGAGGCAAAATTTTACACCCCAAATCACGGTTGGTGGCAGAGTTAGAACTAGAAACAATAGTAACCTCAATTAGATTTCTATTATATCTATTTTCAACAAATATTCCATATACCTAAGTAAGCCTTAAACATATTTTAAAAAGTAGATTGGAAAGACAAAAAGTTATTTCAGTATGCACTATCAATGTTTGATAAGATATTAGATTAGTACATTTTTGTTTTTATACAGATATACACCCAAAAAGGAATTACTTGGAAATTTATCTGATTTCATAACTGCCAATATATGAAAGCTGGAATTTTTTTTAAAGCAAAGCAATGTCATTCCACCAGATGTCACTGTTTGCATGTAGCAATGGAGTTACAATGATTAAAAATAAAATTCCCCCCAATCATATTTTGTAAAAAAAAATTCTATATAGTTATACTCTTATTCTTCTTTAGATTTATTATTTTATTAAGACTACAATCCCTGAATTTTTGAAAGTATTTATTACCTTTGCTCCAGATTTTAAAGATTATACTAAAGAAAATTATTTGTAGATTAGCATCTTCAAGAAGATGAACTCCTAAAGTGTTTTCTAGACCTAGGAACTTGCTTTTCAAACAACATTCTTTGTAAGTTACTGTTTTCTACATTGTGGATTGTGACCCAATAAGTGGGTTGTGAAATCAATTTAGTGGCTTGCTGCAAACACTTAAAAAAAATGTCTGGAATAGTATTACTTTGGCTAAACTTTTATACATGAGCACTCTTAAAATTTCCCTGCGAAGCCTCACCCAGGTTTGGTACTCCAGGAAGCAAGGGAAATTTGCTAAGGAAGAGATAGGGAAGATGTGATGGGGAAACTTCTCTGTTAGAGTACCACCAAGCAAGGGGAGAGTGTTGCCGGAGGGAGAATGCTTCTCCAAGCTTCACAGGGTGGAACTCACGGTCCACCCTGTGAAGTGAGCTCACAGTCACTTTTGTGGAACTCACAGAAGATGTGTGCAGAGATGTTTTATGAGTGTTCTCAGCTTAGAGCAAAGGTTTTCCAAACTTCTTTGACAGCAACCTACAATGAGAAGTACATTTTATATCTCTGGCGCCATGGGAGACTGATGTTGACTGGGAAGGAGGTTTGAACTCACTCGGAGAGAGGTGGGCTTGTTTCCTTATTCAATCCCCTCAGTGATAATAGCAATAATGATTGTAATATCAACAACTTACTGGGCATGTAGTATGTTCAAACTCTTCACACATATTATACCTAAGCATTAGACCCTGAAAGACCCGATCACCGTTGCCATTCATAGACGAGGAAACTGACACTTAGGAGGGAAAAGTGACATACTGGATATAGCGCCCCACGTGGCCAAACTGGGGCTTAAATCCTGGTGTTCAACTTCATTCCAAAGACTAGCTCTTCCCACTATATCAGTGATTTTTAGGTTTCCCCTGAGGATAAGGACCACCTGGAGTGTTTTATAAGTGTATCAATTCTCAGGCTCTATCGTGAACCTACTGAATTAGAATCTCCAGAGGAGGGATCTGGAAAGCTGTAGATTTAATAAGCATCCTGGGATATACTTATTATCAGGCTGTTTTGGGAAAGATTGTAGTACGTCAGTGGTTCTCGAACTTCAGTATGCATTTGAATCACCTGCAGGGCTGGTTAAAACACAGGTGGGGCTCTGCCCCACACCCAGAGGTTCTGATTCATTGCGTGTGATGGGGCTCAAGAATTTGCACTTCTAGCAAGTTCCTATGTGATGATAATGATGCTGGTTAGGGAACACACTTTGAGAACCACTGCGGTATATCTTGCTGACCCACGGTTCTCAGTTCCCCAGGATAGGTCTGGGACAAGCTTTGGCTGTGGGACTTTTCTTGGTCAGCCAAAATTCAACAATACTTATTCAGTACCTACTACATTTGCATCCATATGAGACAGAAAATGAATAAGAATCACTTTTCCCCCTAAACCAGCCTATGATCTACTGTGGAAAAGATATACAGAATAAAGTATAGTATATTTTATAATGAAAGAGCAGATCAAATGCAGCAGGAAAACTGGGGAGGTAATGATGAATTTTGAATGGGCAGGGGGCATTTGTAAAGGTCTCACGGAGAGGTTGAATCTGAAAGCCTGTTTTAATCATTTCCATAATCACACTGTACTGTAACTTGGTTTGCCTGTCTCCTTTATTGCCCCCATAGTAGTCTCAGCACTTAGGACACCTTTTGCAAAGTGAATGCAGTTGGACAGGGTGTTAGGGGAGGGAAGTAGGATTGGTAGGGTAGATGGTGCCCAGACTGTGGAGGACCCTGACTGCCAGGCTCAGGAGAGGGGCAGTCAGGGTCAGGTTTGGAGAGGGGGTGACTGATGACACCTCTGGCAGGGGTATATAGCATGGATTGGAGGAGGGAGAGTCTGGAGGTAAGGGACCAGCAAAGACGTTATCATGGGACTCAGGTGAGAGAAAATGTAATGGCAGGAGAGACATTCTGGAGGCTGAAGGAACAGGGCAAGTCATTACTGTTGGGAGTGACAGAGAGGTTGGAGATGAAGAGATTTCAGTCTGAACCACTGAGATGGTGGTGTTTTCCAAAGAGTAGAACTCTAGAAAGGATTGGTTCTTTTCTCTGGAAATCAAAATCTGGAGAAAAATTTCAAAGTCAGTGATTCATCTTTGTCATACAGGAACAGTTGCTAACTTTGGTAGCCTTTCTGCTAAGGCCCATTCATGTCTGCTAGAGCTATGCACTCTAAAATGTCCAGTGACTTCTTTCACTTTCCTTCCAACCAACCACAATTTCTGTTTCTTTAGTGAGCTATTGGAACATGAAAGGGCAAAAGACAATAAGATGTGAATGACTCTTACTACCTTGTTTTTGGCTTAGGGTCAGGTAAAAACACAGCAGTGCCTCAAAGTAGCTTCTTAAGTCACCCTCTCCTCCCTGATCTTAGAAATACTTTACTGATCTTGATGTATGTAGTCTCCTGGCTCATTATTCTAGCCAATAGACCTTACCCTATTCTTTTGTTTTCCCTGGATATATCAGTCAAAATTTAGTTGCAGAAAACCAAAATATTTTTGGCTATTTTAAGCAAAAAGTGATTTAGTAATGGGAATTCAATGCTTACAAAGTCAATGGAAAGATTGGAAAAATGGGCCCTAGGTAGGGAGGGCTTACAGAGATGACTCACACAGCATGCTTAACTGGCTGCCAAGGTTGCTGCTCCTTCTGGCATAGTCCAGAAGGCGGGAAATCTGGAAGACAATGCTGGCAACATAGCACCTTAGCTGAGAGTCAGGGATCACGTGGTCTCTACTGTCAACACTTTTGACTCTGAAGCCACACTATGTCTGTTTGATATGCTCACTAGCAAAAAAAAAAAAAAAAAAAAAAGGCAACCTATAAAAGAAGTAACTGGAACACTGCTACAGAAGAACTCAACGTTGCCGTGACTGCTTGCCAACAGAAACATCAGAACCTTCTTCCTTCCAAGTTGTATGTGAGTGCATCTGCTTAGCGTATCCTAAATCACATTGAGGACACTGGCTGCAGGAAAGTTTTTACGTCTCCATCCTCAGCAGGAAAGCATATTAGAAGGAGGGTGGATTTTATGTCGAGTAGCAGTCTACTGTATTCACTGTGTTGGGAGTTGAGCTTTATTTTCTACTCGAATTCAGATGTTGACTGGGTGAGATAGGAAGATTTTTTACATGACTCTACTTTGGCAAAGCCCTACCTTCTCCAGCCAGGCTCTGGGTGGGCCTGTTTTTTAAGAGCTGGTATGATGGGATCTGAGGGTTTCGGCATATTATGAAGTAATTAAAGTCAGTTGGGTGTGTGTGTGCTTAGTCTTCACATTTGGTGGCTCATAAAATGATTGTCTGTTTATATAATGGTATACCAAAAAGCTAGAGGGAACACTGACTCTAGATACTGCCATGTGAAATTGACATTGTTATATAGTCTGTGTAGGGCCAATTTATACTCATTTATATTTCTTTTACAGTAAGTGCTGCAGCACAAAAGTTTATTTTCAAGCAGTCTGTAAGTCAGGCATTAATGACACGTTTTGCCTTCAAATTTTGATTTACCTCATCTTTTTGATTTAATTAAGGCTTTTGTTGATAGGCTTTGAACCTCCTATATATATCCTTATATATATATACAGTCTGTAGCCTAACAGGGAAGACCTGATGCTGTAACAGTTCTCTCTTCCTCCTGGAAAGATATAAATCAAGAAGAGAAAACTTTAACGTGAGAAGGCAGTTCTGTTTAGGCTGACGCTTTGCCTCAGTCTAAGAAATGAAACCGTTTCCCGTGAGCTTGGAGTGGGGAGCAGGTTAGTGATCAGAGGGGAGAGAATTTTTACCTCTTTTATAATCAGGCTTTCATAGGGTGAGTCTATGATTCCAATATAATAAACAAAACCATCATAAATCTCACTACTGAAATGTATTCAGAACCAAACATGAATTATTTTTAAATTATTTCCTGTTTTGGATAATCTGACTTCTGCACAGTTTCTGTTTGGTACAGATATCAAACGTCAATTTGTTTATTTCAGTAGACATATGAAATGAGAGCAAACATCTTTTGCTTTATCAATGACTTAAAAAACAAATTTATTTTTTTTAATCACACTGCAGAATACTGCAAGGAATTCCTGCTATGGGTGACAATCAAGAATATGTTGCTGTCCTTCCAACAACACCAGGGATACCGCCTGGATTGGCACCAGACGCTAGACAGCATGCTCACAAACCAGACCTACAACTCTTGGGAGAGGAAGTAAGAATTTCCTATAGTATTAGTTTTCCCTACCTCACAAGTTCTCAAACTTTTTGGTTTCAGGACCCTTTTTACACTCTTAAAAATTATTGAGGACCTCAATAATTATTTATGTGGGTTATATCTATTGAAATTTAAAATTTTGAAAATTAAAACTGAGAAAATGCCAAGATGTTTGTTTTTTATTAAATTTTATTTAATTTATTTAATATAACATATATATTTAAATAAATATATATTATTAAATAAATAAATATATATAAATAATAAATATTATATATTTAATATAATACAAAATAATTTAACTAATATAAAATTTTATTAAAATTAATAAAGTCATATATGTTAATATACATAATATACTTTTATAAAAAATAATAATTTTTTTACGCAAAATATTTGGTGTGAAAACTAGGGCTTTTTTCTTTTTTGCAAATCTCTTTAATGTCAGCTAAATTCTTTTGTCTGCTTCTGTACTCTATTTTGTGGTGGTCTGTTTTTGTTGAAATATATAAGGCAAATTCTGGTCCCACACAGATTTGTAGTTGGAAAAAGAAAGATTATTTTAATAGCTTTTTAACATAATTATGGATATTTTCCAAAACTTATCAAGTGTTAGTTTCCTGAAAGTTAGTTGTGAGACTTCCGCTTCTGGGGAAGATAGAGCAGAAGTACTTTTCCCTGTTCTTCCTGCTAAGCACAACCAAGCCCCTGGACGTTGTAAACGTAAGAAGCCTCTGAAAGGTGGAGAGAATGAGGCACACACACCAGGAACCTTGGGACCCAAGAAATGATGTGGTGCTGAGTCAGTTCCTTCGGTTTTCTTTTTTGCTTCATATAACTTATACTGGGATCTGAAAAATTGGTAACCTAGAAACAAAAATAGGTAAAGACAAAAAAAAGTCCCAATAAAAGCCTGCTCTCTCTAGCCAAAGAACCAGGGAAGAGGCAGCCCAGCAAGACAGGAAACTTTTATTTATTTATTTATTTATTTATTTATTTATTTATTTATTTTTGTGAGGAGATCAGACCTATGCTAACATCTGCCAATCCTCCTCTTTTTTGTTTTTTTGCTGAAGAAGACTGGCCCCGGGCTAACATCCGTGCCCACTTTCCTCCACTTTATATGGGACGCCGCCACAGCATGGCTTGACAAACAGTGCGACAGTGCGTGCCCAGAATCCAAACCAGCGAACCCCGGGCCACCGCAGCGGAGCGCGCACACTTAACTGCTTGCGCCACCGGGCCAGCCCCGACAGGAAACTTTTAGACCATAAACTCTCTACTCTAGACAAACACCACAGAAAAACCTGTGGCCCCATACTCACTCCCACCAGTAGAGGCCTAGTGGGAAATCTAGACTTTTACTCTTGCCAGAGTGTAATGAGGCACTCTAACACTCCTGCGAGGGTGGCGTCAGAGAAGGCTGAGTGTGGAGCTGGGACTTTCATCTTAACAGAGTAATGATGAGGTTTCCCCTCCATGGTATCAGTTGAGACCACATGGAGATCCTGGACTTTCATCTCCACGTAGCAATAATGAGCCACTCCTCTCCCTCCCACTCTGGTGGTATCAGAGAAGGCCTAGTGGAGTGTCAGCTAAAATAGGTCTAAAAAAGATCCAGAGTCTCATAGCATGATACTGAAAATATCCAAATTTCAATTGAAAATCACTAATGATACAAAGACCTAGGAAAATCTCAAACTGAATGTAAAAGACAATCAATAGACGCCAGCACTGGGATGACAGAGATATTAGAATTATCTGACAAAGATTTGAAAGCCACTATCATAAAAATTCTTCAATGAGCAATTATGAACACACTTGAAACAAATTTTTAAATTTGTTTAAAATAGAAATAGAAAGTCTTAGTAAACAAATTTAAGATATAGAGCAGAAACATGAAAATTTTAGAATTGAAAAATATAACTGAAATAAAAATCTCAGTGGATGGGCTCAAAGGGAGAATGGAAGAGACAGGAAAGAATCAGTGAACTTGAAGGTAGAACAATAGAATTTATCCAGTCTGAACAACAAACAGAAATAGACTAAAAATGAAAGTTAACAGAGCCTCAAGGATCTGTGGGAATATAACAAAAGATCTAACATTTGTGTTATTGCAGTCCTGGAAGGAGAAGAAAAAAAAGAGGGGTGACTGAAAAGATATTAGAAGAAATAATGGCTGAAAAATTCCCCAATTTAGCAAAAGACTTAAACGTATTCAGGACGCTGAGCAAACTCCGAGGAGGAAAAATCCAAAGAACTCTGTACCAAGCCACATAACAGTCAAACTTCTGAAAACTAATGCTAAAGAAAAAACCTTGAAAGCCGCCAGAGAGAAACAATGTGTGACCTACAGGAGAAAAACAATTTGAATGGCAGTGGATTTCCTCAGAAACTGTGGAAGCCAGAAGTCAGTGGCAGAACATTTTTCAAGTGCGGAAAGAAAAGAACTATGATTCCAGAGTCCTATATCCAGAGAAAATATCCTTCAGGAATGAAGGGGAGGGCCGGCTCCGTGGCTTGGCGGTTAAGTGCGCGCGCTCTGATGCTGGCGGCCCGGGTTCGGATCCCGGGAGCGCCCAGAGGCACCACTTCTCCGTCCAACGTGAGGCCGGGTCCCACGTACAGCAACTAGAAGGATGTGAACCTATGACATACGGCTATCTACTGGGGCTTTGGGGGGAAAAAACTGAATAAATAAAATCTTTAAAAAAAAAAAAAAAAAAAAGGAATGAAGGGGAATCAAGACATTTTCAGATGAAAGGAAACTGAGAGAATTTGTCTCCAGAAGACCTACCCTAAAAGAATGGCAAGAAGAAGTTCTCTAAACAGGAATAAAATGATGAAAGAAGAAAGCTTGGAATATCTAGAAGGAATGAAAACACGTAAAGCAAAAATATGGGTAAATGCAGTAGAGTTTCCTTCTCCTTTTGAATTTTCTGAGTTATGTTTGTCAGTTGAAGCAAAAATTATCATATTGTTAAATGTAATTAAGGAAATGTTTAAGACAATTATATTATAAATGGAGAAGGATAAAGAGACATACAGGGAGGCAAGATTTCTACACCTCACTTGAACTGGTAAAATGATGACATCAGTAAACTTTAATAAGTTATGTTTATATAATGTAATACCTAGAGCAAAGCTAAAGAGCTGTACAGAGAGATACACTCAAAAATATCATAGATAAATAAAAGTGGAATTCTAAAATATGTCCAAGTAACAGGAAGGCAGGAAAAAGAAAACAGAGAAACAAAACAAAGCAGAGAGAATAAACAGAAAACAAAAAATGAAATGGCAGACGAAATTCCTAACTTAAATGTAAATGGTCTAAATATACCAGGTAAGTAACAGAGATTGCAGAGTGGATTAAAATACATGGCCCAACTATATAGTGTCTACAAGAAACTGACTCCCAATGTAATGATATAGGGATGTTGAAAGTAAAAGGGTAAAAAAAGATATACATGCAAACATTAATCAAAGAAAGCAGGAGTGGCTATATTAATATCAGATAAAGTAGACTTCCAAGCAAATAAAGTTATCAGAGACAGAGAGAGGCATTATATTATGATAAAAGTGTCAATCCACCAGGAAGAAATTACAATCTTAAAAAGTGTATGCACCAAACAACAGAACTACAAAATATGTGAAGCAAAAACTGATAGAACTGAAAGGAGAAATAGGCAATTCCACGATTATAGTTGGAAATTTAACCCCTCTCTAAATAGTTGATAGAACACGTAGACAGAAAATCAGCAAGGATATAGAAGAATTCAACAACTCCATCAACCAACAGGATCTAATTGAAATTTATAGAACACTACACCCAACAAGAGCAGAATACACATTCTTTTTATGTTCCAACGGAATGTATACCAAGATAGAGCAAATCCAAAATGGAATCAAACTAAAGATCAATATCAAAGATAACAGAAAAATCTCCAAATGATTGGAATCAAAACAATACATTTATAAGTAATCCATGGGTTAAAAAGGAAATCTCAAGGGATTTGGGAAAAAACATTGAAAATCAATTGAACTGAATTAAAATGAAAAAAAAAAAATCAAAATTTGTGGAACACGGCTAAGCCAGTGCAGAGAGAGAAATTTATAGCACTAAATGCTTATAATAGAAAAGAGAAAGTATCAAATCAATAATTTAAGCTCCCATCTCAAGAACCTAGAAAAAGAAGAGCAAAATAAACCCAAAGCAAGCAGAAGGAAGTAATAATAAAGAGCAGAAATCAATGAAATTGAAAACAGAAAAACAATAGAGAAAATCAATGAAACAAGGAGCTAGGTCTTTGAAAAGATTAATAAAATTGATCTCTAGCAAGACTGAAAAGGAAAAAAAGAGAAACAACTTAAGTTACCAATGTTAGAAATGATACAGGAGCTATCACTACAGATGCTTGCAGACATCAAAAGAATAATAAGGGAATACTGTGAACAACTTTACACATATAAATTTGACAACTTAGATGAAACGGAGCAATTCCTCAAAAAACACCAACTACCACAACTAACTCAATATGAAATAGATATTTAAATAGCCCTATAACTATTAAGGAAGTTGAATTCTTTTTTTTCAATTTTTTATTGAGGTCATAATGGTTTATAACATTGTGTAATTTCAGGTGTACATTGTTATTTATCAGTTTCTGTATAGACTGCATCGTACTCACCACCAATATTCTAATTTTTGTCCATCACCATACATATGCGCCCCTTTACCCCTTTACCCCTTTCGCCCAACCCCCCACCCCTGGAAATTGAATTCTTAATTTGGAAAACTCTCCTCTCAGCCCTCTGGAAAACAGTTTGGCAGGTTTATTTATTTTTTAAACTGAACATGCAACTACTACTCAGCAATAAAAAGGAATGAATTATTGATACATGCGACTTACAAGGGTGAATCTTCAGAGAATTATGCTGAGAAAAACCAATTCTAAAAGATTACATACTGTATGATTTCATTATATAACATTCTTGAA